CTCTTGTACAAGGAAGGAGCCTGCTACATGTATATCCCCATGCAGGTAAACACGGCCATCCATGGGCATATGCTTTAGCACACCCCACTGAATGAGGCCTTAGTAAGAATTCAGCAGGAATTATATTGGGTTGTTAGGTTTTTTTTTCAGTGAAAACAGCGATTTGATAAACATTTGCATAACTATTTTGGAGCCTAAAAAAATCTGTAGCACTTTATTTTTATTCTACTAGTCATGTCCTCTCAGAAAATACCTGGTTTGGGGTTATTTTGTAAACTCTGAAAGCTGTAAGTGAAAAACGAAAATCTCCAGGTTTTTTAGAGAAATGTGGTTATTTACAGCATTGCAAGTTAGATTTTTACCATTTTGCAAATAGGCGCAATTTAAAGTTATTTTTTAACTCAAGTTAAGCTTTTATATTTATTAGGAATTTGACAGGAATTTTGTAAAATGTGTTGTGTTTGTATGTGCTGTTAATGATTTCAGTGTATTTTTTGCGAAAATATTGCTTTGATAAACATTTGAGCAAATATCATGGGGAAAGAAAAATCAGTAGTGCCTTCTTTTCATTCTACTGGTCATGTGCTTTCACAAAATATATGGTTTGGAGGGGGTCTTTTACAAACTCTGAAAGGGTTAAAGGATAGGTTCAATTTTTTAAAAAAAAATAATAAATGCCCATTATTTTGCAGGTAAAAAAATGTGCATTTATTATTTTTTTGTAAGAAGCCTGCACGAGAAAGAAGCCACACTGAAACTAGAAACCTGGGGGAGTGATGAAGATACCAGCTTAAACAGGGACATTGGCAAGGATTAAAAGATAAATACAGGTAGACTCATTACATGCAACGCAAGATAGTTCAAGCCGTGATTTGTCATAATTGTGATGATTATGGCTTACAGCTCATGAAAACCCCAAATCCACAATCTCAGAAAACTAGAATACTGTGAAAAGGTGCAATATTCTCGGCTCAAAGTGTCCCACTCTAATCAGCTAATTAAGCCATAACACCTGCAAAGGGTTCCTGAGCCTTTAAATGGTCTCTCAGTCTGGTTCAGTAGGAATCACAATCATGGGAAAGACTGCTGACCTGACAGTTGTGCAGAAAACCATCATTGACACCCTCCATAAGGAGGGAAAGCCTCAAAAGGTAATTGCAAAAGACGTTGGATGTTCCCAAAGTGCTGTATCAAAGCACATTAATAGAAAGTTATGTGGAAGGGAAAAGTGTGGAAGAAAAAGGTGCACAAGCAGCAGGGATGACCGCAGCCTGGAGAGGATTGTCAGGAAAAGGCCATTCAAAATTGTTGGGGACTTTCAGAAGGAGTGGACTGAGGCTGGAGTCAGTGCATCAAGAGCCACCACACACAGACGGATCCTGGACATGAGCTTGAAATGTCGTATTCTTCTTGTCAAGCCGCAACTGAACAACAAACAATGTCAGAAGCGTCTTACCTGGGCTAAAGAAAAACAGACCTGCTCTGTTGCTCAGTGGTCCAAAGTCCTCTTTTCTGATGAGAGGAACTTTTGCATCTCATTTGGAAACCAAGGACCCAGAGTATGGAGGAAGAATAGAGAGGCACACACTGCAAGATGCTTGAAGTCCAGTGTGAAGTTTCCACAGTCTGTGTTGATTTGGGGAGCCATGTCATCTGCTGGTGTTGGTCCACTGTGCTTCATTAAGTCCAGGGCCAACGCAGCCGTCTACCAGGAGATTTTAGAGCACTTCATGCTTCCTTCCGCAGATGAGCTTTTATGGGGATGCTGACTTCATTTTCCAGCAGGACTTGTCACCTGCCCACACTGCCAAAAGCACCAAAACCTGGTTCAATGACCGTGGGATTACTGTGCTTGATTGGCCAGCAAACTCGCCTGACCTGAACCCCATAGAGAATCTATGGGGCATTGCCAAGAGAAAGATGAGAGACATGAGACCGAACAATGCAGAAGAGCTGAAGGCCGCTATTGAAGTATCCTGGTCTTCCATAACACCTCAGCAGTGCCACAGGCTGATGGCTTCCATGCCACGCCGCATTGAGGCAGTAATTGCTGCAAAAGGGGCCCAAACCAAGTACTGAGTACATATGCATGCTTATACTTTTCAGAGGTCCGATATTGTTCTATGTACAATCCTTGTTTTATTGATTGCATGTAATATTCTAATTTTCTGAGATTGTGGATTTGGCGTTTTTCATGAGCTGTAATCCATAATCATCATAATGATGACAAATCACGGCTTGAACTATCTTGCTTTGCATGTAATGAGTCTATCTCATATATTAGTTTCACCTTTTAAGTTGCATTACTGAAATAAATGAACTTTTGCACGATATTTAATTTTTTGAATTTCACCTGTAAGTTGCATGTTCAGTTAGTGCCCCCTCCATAACCTCCTTCATACTTACCTGAGCCCGATCCAGCTCTATGCATGAGAGCAGAAGCTCTCTCCTTTCACCCTCTCCTCAAAGGCTTAGAGACAGCAGAGGTAGCCATTGGCCACCACTGCTGTCAATCACAGCTAGTAAGGAGGGAGCTGGGGGAAAGGCTGCACCTTGCTCTGTGTGTCAATGGGCATACAGAGAGCAGCTTAGGAGTAGCCGGCAAAAGTGCCCCCACAGCAAGTGGCTTGCTCTGGCAGGCACTCATCAGGGAGGAGCCGAGAGCACGGGCTAGGGAACTGAGCGAAAAGAGGATCCAGGCTATTCTGTGCAAAACCATTAGCAGAAGAGGTAAGTATAACATGTTTTTAAAGTGATTCTAAAGGCTTTTGTTTAGAAAAAATAACAAACATGTCTGTACTAACCTGCTCTCTGCAATGGTTTTGCACAGAGCAGTCCGGCTCCTACTCTTCTTGGTTCCCTTGTAGGCTCTCCTGGCCCCTCCCTCTTGTCAGGTGCCCCCACAGCAAGCAGCTTGCTGTGGGGGCATCTGCTGCTCTGTGTGTCCATTCACACACGGAGCCGTGACTTGGCCCCACCTCCTCTCTTCTCATTGGCTCACTGGCTGTGATTGACAGCAGTGGAAGCCAATGGCTCCTGCTTCTGTCTCAGCCAATGAGAAGAGGGAGTCTCAGGATAGCTGAGACTCCAGTGCACATTGCTGGATCGAGAGGGGGATTAGGTAGAGTATTGGGGGGACTGCTGCACACAGAAGGTTGTTTACCTGCATGCATAAAATGCATGAAGGTAAAAAAACTTTGAGCCTTTACAAGCACTTTAAAAAAAAAATTACGGTCGCTTTAAATCAGCAGCTGAAACTGCTTACAAAAACTTAAACCAAGGGTTTAAAATCACTGTAACTGCTTTCCCGCCACCCTATAGAAGATATGCTGATACAGGGCAGCAGGGGTGTGCAAAATCATGTATATATACGTGATTTTGCATTTCTGGGTAGGGGGCTCTCGCAAGCAGCACACGTGCCCTACCCGCACCAGACTTGGCTGTCAATCACCGAGTCCAGGCTGGTGATTACTCGCAGGCACCCGGTGATAGTGGAGTATTACTGATGAAGGGTGAGAACTGTTTGTAAACAATACAGTTCTCTCCTCTGTTAGCTCCTGCACACTGCACTGTATGGCTCTGCATAGCAGTGTGATTACAGTTGAAAGCAATAACACACAGTCCCACAGTAAAACAGCACACAGTTAACTCTTTGATTGCCCCACACGCTAACCCCTTCCTGCCCAGTTCCATTAGTACAGTGTTTTTTCTCAAAATTATCGGGCTTTTTTTTCTATAGAGCAAACAATAAAAATTGCAGAGGCGATCAAATACCACCAAAATAAAGCTCTATTTGTGGGGGCAAAAAAAGGACATAAAGTTCATTTAGGCGCAGCATTGCATGACCGCGCAATTATCAGTTAAAGTAATGCAGCACTGTAACACAAAAAATGGCCTGGTCAGGAAGGGAGGGGACTTCTCCAGGGCTTCCCCCATCCTCTGGAACTCCCTACCCCAATCCATCAGACTATCACCTACTCTCCTCACCTTTAGGCGCACTCTGAAAACCTATCTCTTCAGGGAAGCCTACCCCGCCCTCAGCTAATTACCGATCTCCACTCTTCCTACCACTCCATCCCCCACAGCTATTTTCTCCTGTACCACTATCCCCTCCCTCCTAGATTGTAAGCTCCAAGGAGCAGGGCCCTCGAACCCCTCATGTATTGTATTGTATTGTTACTGTACTGTCTCGTGTACTGTCTCCCTTTATAATGTACAGCGCTGAGCAAACTGTTGGCACTATATAAATCCTGTATAATAATAATAATCCTTCAGAGGGCAAGGGGTTAATCAGGGACAGAAATAATTTTGAAGAGCTCTCAGGTGGTCTGACCTTTTTACTGGATAGTAACGCACAGGGGCGGACTGACCATTTGGGAACTCGGGCACTGCTCGGGGGCCCCATGGGATGCCCCTGGTACCTTTCATAGGTTTTTTTTGGGTATGGTTTAAGTGTGGGTGAGGACACAGGGGCCCCATGATCCCCTATTGCCCGAGGGCCCCATGAGTTGTCAGCCCGCCCCTGGTACCACAGTAACTGAATACATTCATTTGTTGGCTGGATCAGCTCTACAGTTTCAGAGTGTCTGTGCCACAGCGTTTCCAACTACACACAAGCTCAATGCCTGTGGCCACTTTTACATGGAAATGTTAACAAGGGAACAACCTGAATAATTTTCTCCTACACAGCACTGAATTAATGAGTCAGTTAGTGTGATCCATGGTCTTCTTCAATACTATTGTGTTTTATGGATACTGAATGACATGCTACAATACTGGCATACCTCCTTTTTTTTGTGTTCTCCTTGGGAAGCATTATTTAATAACCTGTCAAAATCAGGTCATGTATAGTTGGGGAATGCATTTATATTTTATGCGGCACAACATAATAAGTAACATTCATAGCAGCAAACTGCGCATTCTTACAAATAAGTATCTGACTACACAGAACTTCCAGTAATTGGAAAGAAAGGCAGTTTGTTCCTTAGGTTCCAGCTATTATGTTTCCGTCGCTTAAAAAGTGATCTGTGAAATGGCAGCATGAGAAGAAGCATGCTATACAGCATGCAATTATTGTACCACTGATTAAAAAATCATTTTAGCGCAAACAGGGGCAGACTGGCAACTCATGGGGCCCCTGTGTCCTTGCCCACACTCAAAAAAGCCTATAAAAAAGGTACCAGGGGCATTTCATGGGGCCCCCTACTGACCCCGGGCCCTCGGGCAGTGCTCGAATGGTCAGTCCGCCCCTGAGCGCAAAGTTACTGTAAAATACATGCAGCTTTAACCAAATGCAAAACAAAGTGCTGAAACAATCTTAACAGTTCAGGATGGCAATTGCTTCTAATTGTGGCTTGTATGCCAGTAGGAGAGATTTCCACTAATTTCCTGTGTCAGTGACACCATGTGGCAGGGTGTCACTAATACAAGATGGGAGGGAAAATCTTCATGTCATTGATACCGAATAGAAGTTCTAATACTGCCCCATGAGATCCCCCCCAAAAAAATAAAAGTCATAATTGCAGTTAGGTTTTTAAATAGAGCTTTTGAGAAACATAACCCCTAAAGTTGAACTATGGCTTTAAAAAAATATGTGCTGCAGCACTTAAAGTGGTTCTAAAGGCAAAAGTTTTTTTTTTTTTTTTACCTTGATGCATTCTTTGCATTAAGGTAAACAACCTTCTGCATGCAGTTCCCCCCCTTATACTTACCTGAAACTGTTCTTGATCCTGCGATGTCTTTGAAAGCAGCAACTCACTTGGCTCTCTCCCTCCTCATTGATGCACAGGCAGCAGTGGGAGCCATTGGTTCCTTCTGCTGTCAATCACAGCAAGAAGGGAGGGAGCAGTGGGGCGGGGCGGATCTTTGCTCTGTGTGTTCATAGCATGCACGAGTGCACCCCAAGTGGCTGCTAAGGGGGTACTCAGTGGGGTAGAGGAGCCGGGAGTGCCAGCAGGGGAACCCAGAAGAGGAGGATCAGAGTTGCTTTGTGCAAAACCACAGAGCACATAAGTATGACAAGTTTGTGATTTTAATATAAAAAAATTACAATCACTTTAATTACTAGAGCATCTGTATTGAAAATTTTCTCTTCCTCTTGCAAAGTTCCACAAATATCTGTTAATCCTGCCAGTGAAGACCACCCAATGCAGCTTCCTGTTAAAGTGGTTCTAAAGGCGGAAAGTGTTTTACCTTCATGTGATCTATGTAAGAATGTAAAAACCTTCAGTGTGCAGCTTCCCCCTCAGCCCCCCTAAAACATACCCACCTGGGTCAGATCCAGCGATGTGCATGAGAGCAGAAGCTCTCTCAGGTCTCTGCCTCCTCATTGGCTGAAACACAGCTGCGGGAGCCATTGGTTCCCACTGCTGTCAATCACAGCCAGTGAGGAGAGAGCAGGGGCGGGGCCAAGAGCACGCATGCACAAGTGTTCCCAGACCAAGTGGCTTGCTATGGGGGCATTCCGCAGGGGAGAGGGGCCTGGAAGAGAGGGACTGGGGCTGCTCTATGTAAAAATATTTCATAAAGCAGGCATGACATGCTTGTTGTTATTTGTTTTACATGAACCTCTACAATCACTCTAGGGCTATGCCCATGATGGTGCACTGTTCTTGAATTCAGAGAAGAGTTGCCACTGTTATGTAGGCTGTGGGCAAGAGGTGTGGCTATCAGCATTATCAATGTTGATTCATAGGCTTGTAACTTGTTAATCAGCCCTGGCCACATCTAGTACTGCCCCTTGCTTTCTGTTACTGAAACCCTCCCACTGTGAGCTGCAGTGTCTGTGAGGGAGAACATGTGACACACAAATGGAGGAGGATTTGGCTCAGTCAAGAAAGGTAAAGCAAGTTTTTTTATTAAAGTGGTTCTAAAGGCTCTGTGTGCAGAAGTCCCATAAGCCCCCCCCCCGTTCTGAGTGCAGCAGCCCCCCTCAGGCCCTCCCCTTTTGTCTGCAGAAGCCTCCTCAGCCCCCCCTTCTGTGTGCAGAAGCCCCATAAGCCCCTCCCGTTCTGAGTGCAGCAGCCCCCTAATCCCCTCCTCTTTTGTCTGCAGAAGCCCCCTCAGCCCCCCCTTTTGTGTGCAGAAGCCCCTCAGCCCCCCAATCCTTTTTTGTGCCCAATCTCGATCCAGCGATCTTCAGAATATTCTCGGCTGGATGGGGACTCTCCCTCCTCATTGGTTGAGACAACAGTGGGAGCCCATTGACTCCTGCTGCTGTCAATCACAGCCAGGGTGCCAATGGGGAGAGAGTAGGGGGTGGACTGAGCTGCAGCTCCATGTGTTTTATGGATGTATTAGTAGTGCCTCGGGAGCAGGGGCGGACTGACCCTTTGGAAATGCGGGCACTGCCTGAGGGCCAGGGGTCAATAGGGGGCCCATGAGATGCCCCTGGTACCTTTTTCATAGGCTTTTTTGAGTTTGGGCAAGGACATAGGGGCCCCATGATCCCCTATTGCCCGGGGGCCCCATGAGTTGTCAGTCCGCCCCTGCTTGGGAGTGAGCATGCAGCGGTGCCCTGAGGGCAAGCAGCTTTCTCTGGGGGCACTGCTCGAGGGGGAGGAGTGAGAGCGCCAGCAGAGGACCTGAAAAGAAGAGGATCGGGACAGCTGTGTGCAAAACTACTGCACAGAGCAGGTAAGTATGGCATGTTTTGTTATTTTATTTAAAAAAAAAAATAACAAAGCTTAAGTATCACTTTAATTTTTTACTTTGAAAACCAACTTTATTAAAACAAATTGAACAGGAAAACAGTATATAATTTAAGACAATGATGCAAAAAATATAAGAAAAGAGAAGAATAGGGATAAGTAATAAAGAAAAGGAGGAAAAGAAAACAAGATAAAGACAGAAAACAAATGAAAGCCCCCAAGTTGGGGCATAATAAACATCAACATATATAGCACATGGTACACTGATAACAAACTTATAAGGCACAGATACAGGCTTGGGTGTTATGGCATTGCAACAGAAAAAAAAAAAACACAATGCAGGATCAGAACCCTAGGTAGCGTCACACAGTCACAATGAAAGAACAACAAACAGGGTAGTGAATTGAGGGCAAGACTCTCACAATATATTGCATAACGGGTTGCCCCAAGCACTCAGCCAGCTAAGTAGCCAAGGAGGCAAGCCACCTATCCCAAATCTTATTGTATTTCGAGGGGCATCCTCTGTGAGCATAAATGAGCTTCTTGTATGGTAGAGTTGACCTCCGATAACCATAGTTGTAAAGTAGGAATGGTTGTCTGCATCCAGTAGCGCAAGGAGTTTACGTGCACAGAATAAAGTTTCATGGATGAGAATAACTACAAATGTATCCTCAGGCATATCTGGGAGGGAGCCCAACAGGCACACTCCAGGATCCAACTGAAGGGGTGAGCCCATATGGTCATGCAATAATTTGTAGCCAGAAAGTCTGAACAGTCGGGCAGGACCACAAGAGATGAAAGTACCAGATGACATCCGACAGTATCACTTTAATTGTATAAGGCATGTGCATCACATAATAATTGGATCTGATACTTGTTTAGACTATCAAACAGGATATACGTTTTATATTTTAAATCACAGTCTTTCCTAAACTAAGCACTTATTTTGTATACTCCCCTCGTCCTATGCCAGGTGCAGCTGCTCTATATCCTTCCGGCACAGCACTGAAATATACTACCATCAAGCCGTGAGAACTGATAACTACTGTTCTAATACCCATTGCTAAAATGTCAGTACAAGCAGGCAGCATGTTGTTACTTTATAAGCAATCAACTCTATTAAAAGGGCAACGCGTTATGCATTTTTTTAGTTTTACTACTTTTCTTTCAACATATTACTTTTATTTATTGTATTACTTTATTTAACCGGTTCTGTGCCGCCCTATAGCAGAAATACTGCTACAGGGTGTGCAAAATCATGCCATTTGCGGCCTCGGCTGTCAATCACGGGGTCCCAGCCGGTGATTAGTTGCCGGCACCCAGTGATTGCAGAGTATCTCCGAGGGGGGGAGAGACCTGTGTATAAACAACATAGATCTCTCCCCTGTCAGCTCCTGCACACTGCTTTGTATAGCTCTGAGTGCTTCACTGTAAGCATACTGCTTTGTATGGCTCTGCTATGCACACAGCCCAAGTAGTGAAACAGCACACAGTTGCCACCATGTTATGAATGATCCTTCAGCTGAGGGGAGGGACAGCAGAGGGGGAGAAAGAAAAAGGACAGAGGAAGATGCCAGGTGCCTGGGGCCAGTGTAGCCGGCTGCTCCTTCCAGTGTTCCTCTCAGACTCAGTCCCTTACTGCAAGCCAGCTGGCGGCTTTTGATCACTGTACAGTTCCAGCCCTTCTCTTCCCATTTATCAGCGGAGGCAGAGCTGCATCTGACCCTGATGTCTGAATCTGATATCTCGTGTATGTGTGAGTGTGACCCAGCCAACAGGCTGTCCAGCACACATTGCCCCAGATGTTAATCCCCCCCCTGCCCAGTGCCATTAGTACAATGTCAGTGCTAGTATCACTGGGGATGTCAGTGACACCAAGTCAGTTCCCCCCAAAGTCAGAATGCCCGCCACAGTCCTGCTATAAGTTGCTGATCATCACCATTTCACCAGTAAAAAAAAAAAAAAAATTGTAGTATCTATACCGCCATTTGTTAATGCTATAACCTTCATGTAAACCAATTAATTTACACTTATTGGAATTTTTTTAGCAAAGACATGGAGCAGAATACATTTTGGCCTAAATTTATGATGTATGTCTTTTTTTGGCATTTGATCACCTGTGTGTTTTTTATTTTTTTGTGCTATAAGCAAAAAAATACCGCACAATTTTGAAAAAAAAAAAACAATATTTTTGACTTTTTGCTATTAAACATGTCCAGTAAAAAAATTTTAAAAATCAAATTTCATTTCATTTGGTGGCAGCTTTACATGACCGCACAATTGTCAGTTAAAGTAACGCAGCTATGTATTGTGAAAAATGGCCTGGTCAGGAAGGGCGGTAAATCCTGTGGAGGGTAAGTGGTTAATATATTAGACAAATAACTTGCTTAACTGGTTTCCTTGAACCATTCCTTTATATTTTTACAGTTTTGCATCTGGTGACAGAGCAGATCATAATCCTCTTATTAGCATCAGTGGAATGCAAGGCTGTGAAATAATAGTAGATACTTGTTCTACCTACGATTTCACAGGTAAGCGAAAGAGAGCGTTTCGGAAATGACACATTATTGTAAGAGCACAGAAAAGATATGCGGAGATGTTCGTATTTGCATACAAAACAAGGAGATTGCAGGAAAGTCAAATTAGACACATAAATCAGCTATCTCATGGTTTAGTCATGAGAACCAGCCCCTTGTACAATATTCCTTAAACCAGCAAATGCTTTCATAAGGACAGAAAGCTGAAGGATGGATTTGCCAAGAGAACGAGGACATCTTCTGAATCAGCAGAATTATTCTCAGTGGAATCGAGGTTTCTGTCCTAATTCCTGTTTAGACTGTGCTTTGTGTTTCTGTATAAGGATGAACAGACACAGGCATTCCATGCTTTGTGCTATCAAAAATATCAATCTGAAAGGATCATAATTCAAATAATTGAGCTAAATTACATTTAAAAAACTAGTGCTTGAACACTTGCAACCTGGCAATGTGCAACATGCTTTAAAATGTAGAGAGAAGTACAGGGGCGGACTGACAACTCATGGGGCCCCCGGGCAATAGGGGATCATGGGGCCCCTGTGTCCTTGCCCAAACTCAAAAAAGCCTATGAAAAAGGTACCAGTGGCATCTCATGGGGCCCCCTATTGACCCAGGGCCCTCGGGCAGTGCCCGAGTTTCCAAATGGTCAGTCCGCCCCTGGAGAAGTATAGTGTATAGACAGGGCCGGTGCTAGACTTTTTTGCACCCTAGGCAAGACCAGCTACTTGCGCCCCCCCCCCAATAAATAAATAAACATGTTTTAAAAACAGTAGAAAATATTACATAAACAAAACATGAAACTGCTAAGTTTATGTTATTTCGCAAAAATAAGTGCCATAACAGGGGTGGACTGACAACTCATGGGGTCCCCGGGCAATAGGGGATCATGGGGCCCCTGTGTCCTCGCCCACACTCAAACCACACCCAAAACAGCCTATGAAAGGTACCAGAGGCATCTCATGGGGCCCCCTACTGACCCGGGCCCTCGGGCAGTGCCTGAGTTCCCAAATGGTCAGTCCGCCCCTGTGCCATAAGATTCCACCAGCATCAATATTAAAGACAAAATCAGTGTCACGGATGGACTGAATCTGTGGCTGGCAGTGGCATGGTGACAGTTGCAGTGAGTGGAGGATGATGGATCCACACTCTGACAGATCCCAGGCTGGAAATCCCCAGGCAATGGGGGGGAGGTAAAACACTGTGACAGCAGGCAGCCCAGCCCACACACACAAAGAGAACACCTGAACTGAGCAATTCCACATAGTGACAGATCCAACACAACACACTGACACAGATCAGCAGGGCCATCAGGCAATAAAAGAGCAGACTGTGGGATCGTGATGATGTAATCACTCACTGACACATTGCACATGTTATGGATGTCCTGTTGGCTGGGTCACACTCACACAGACACGAGACATCAGAGTCAGACATCCCTCCCACTGATACCAATGATGGGGCACTATTCCTCCCACTGACACCAATGATGGGGCACTATTCCTCCCACTGACACCAACGATGGGGCACTATTCCTCCCACTGACACCAACGATGGGGCACTATTCCTCCCACTGACACCAACGATGGGGCACTATTCCCCCCACTGACACCAACGATGGGGCACTATTCCTCCCACTGACACCAACGATGGGGCACCATTCCTCCCCCACTGACACCAACGATGGGGCACTATTCCTCCCACTGACACCAACGATGGGGCACTATTCCTCCCACTGACACCAACGATGTGGCACTATTCCTCCCCCCACCAACGATGTGGCACTATTCCCCCCCACTGACACCAACAATAGGACACTATTCCTCCCACTGACACCAATGATGGGGTACCATTCCTGCCACTGACACCAATGTTGAGGCACTATTCCCCCCCACTGACACCAACAATAGGACACTATTCCTCCCACTGACACCAATGATGGGGTACCATTCCTGCCACTGACACCAATGATGAGGCACTATTCCCCCCCCACTGACACCAACAATAGGACACTATTCCTCCCACTGACACCAATGATGGGGTACCATTCCTGCCACTGACACCAATGATGAGGCACTATCCCCCCCACTGACACCAACAATAGGACACTATTCCTCCCACTGACACCAATGATGGGGTACCATTCCTGCCACTGACACCAACGATGGGGCACTATTTCCCCCCAATGACATCAACTATAGGAAATTATTCCTTAAACTGCCATCAATGATGGGACACTATTCCTCCCACTGACACAAATGAAGGTGTGCTCTTCCCCTCCCTAATACCAAAGGTGCATTGTTTACTCCACTGATGCCGGGACAATTTCTACTCCCAATGGCCACAGTCTGACCCCCCAAAAGTCTGAATTCAAATAGACTGTGCACTTTGAAAGAGCAGCTGCTCCAGAGCGTATGAGTAGAAGCTCTTCTGACTTCCATCATCCAATCATGTGTAAGAAAAAAGTGTTTTTTTTTTTTTTCAATTGTCCTTGCATGTCATTGGGTATTCCTTGCAAAGAGAATCTTTATCTCATTTACCAAGCTCTGGAGCAATTGCACTTGCCGAGTGCAACTGCACCTTGTATGGTGCACAGCCTATTTGCCTTTAGTAAATCAACCCCTATGTGTCCAGGGATGAGTGCCCAAAAGTCTGAATTTCACGCATTTGTCCCCGGGTGCATACTGCCCTAAATGTTTGTGTAGCTAAGTGCATCATCCAGCCCTGTCCACCAGCAGAAGCTGTCAGAATCTCATTGCGCAGTGGTCTTCGAACTGTGGCCCGGGGGCCAGATGTGGCCCTTTGCTTGCCTTTATCCGGCCCTTAGGGCACTTTTCCTCCCACTGATACAAAACACTTCCTTTCCTCCCACCAACAATCGGACATGATTACTACTGCTGATGTCAACAATGAGGCACTATTTCTCCCATTGACACCAACGATGGGGCACTATTCCTCCCACTAACACCAATGATGGGGCACTATTCCTCCCACTGACACCAATGATGAGGCACTATTCCTCCCACTGATACCAATGGTGTGGGCACTATTCCTTCCACTGACACCAATGATGGGGCACTATTCCTCCAACTGACACCAATGATGGGGCACTATTCCTCCCACTGATACCAATGATGGGGAACTATTCCTCCCACTGATACCAATGATGGGGCACTATTCCTTCCACTGACACCAATGATGGGGAACTATTCCTCCCATTGATACCAATGATGGGGCAATATTCCTTCCACTGACACCAATGATGGGGCACTATTCCTTCCACTGACACCAATGATGGGGCACTACTCCTCCCACTGACACCAATGATGGGGCACTACTCCTCCCACTGACACCAATGATGGGGCGCTATTCCTTCCACCGACACCAATGATGGGGCACTACTCCTCCCACTGATACCAATGATGGGGCACTATTCCTGCCACTGACACAAATGATGGGGCACTATTCCTCCCACTGACACCAACGATGGGGCACTATTCCCCCCACTGACACCAACGATGGGGCACTATTCCCCCACTGACACCAACGATGGGGCACTATTCCCCCCACTGACACCAACGATGGGGCACTATTCCTCCCACTGACACCAACGATGGGGCACTATTCCTCCCACTGACACCAACGATGGGGCACTATTCCCCCCCACTGACGCCAACAATAGGACACTATTCCTCCCACTGACACCAATGATGGGGTACCATTCCTGCCACTGACACCAATGATGAGGCACTATTCCCCCCCACTGACACCAACAATAGGACACTATTCCTCCCACTGACACCAATGATGGGGTACCATTCCTGCCACTGACACCAACGATGGGGCACTATTTCCCCCCAATGACATCAACTATAGGAAATTATTCCTTAAACTGCCATCAATGATGGGACACTATTCCTCCCACTGACACAAATGGCCACTATTCCTCCCACTTACACCAATGAAGGTGTGCTCTTCCCCTCCCTAATACCAAAGGTGCATTGTTTACTCCACTGATGCCGGGACAATTTCTACTCCCAATGGCCACAGTCTGACCCCCCAAAAGTCTGATGGACATTAAACTGGCCCTATGTTTAGAAAGTTTGGAGACGCCTGTCAGAGTATGACAAAGTTCCAGTGGTGTCTTTGCAGCTAAATAATGGAGCCTCATGCCCCAGGGCTAAACATCCACTGTACATGGAGCCTTATGGGTATGTATTACCTGTATTAGAGAGCACATTACTTCCCATCATAATGCATTCAATTTCTTGTCTCTCCTGTAGGATAGAACGGTCTTTGTGCAGACAATATCCACAGTCAGTATCTACTTTTTAGACAGAGAGTAATATGTGATATGAATCCAGGTGCCTGGGAATTTCTTGGCTGCGTTCACAAATGTCTGATACAGATCAGTCCCCCTGAAGCAGATTTTTTGCTAACTATACATACAACAATATTACAGTTTTTGTTCAACCTGCTAAATGAATGAAAAAAAAACGATCAAAATTTATTGTAGATAAGGCACCAATTGAGTTTAATTACCACCTTTATCAGGCACAGAACTTGTGTACATAGGTCGAAATTTAACCAATTTTTCATCCGAAAATCTGACCTAAGAATAATCGGCTGATTTTTGCTCTGTTAGTGGGTCAATGGCATCGGATGATTTTTGTGGTTCCTCCCCTTTTCGGTGATCGGGCATGTTGGAAAATTCATGAAAAACGAGCGATTTTCAACTCAATGATGGTCAACTCATACGATCGTTTTTACGAAAAGAATATGCGCATGAGCCGTGACCTGGATGGCACACAAGTTTTGCCTGTTATATGGGGTGAACTTTATAACTTGGTCGGCCGATTTTTAAAATCATTGATGGCATCATTGGATTACCGAGCGAATGACGTTTTCGATTTTCGGACAAAAAATTATTCTGCATTCGAACCATGTATGGCCTGCATAAGACCAGAGAGAGAAAATGATCAGCAAACCAGAGGATTAGCAAAGCTGGAGTTGACTACTGAGCAGGGGCAGACTGACCATTTGGAAACTCAGGCACTGTCCGAGGGCCCGGGGTCAGTAAGGGGCCCCATAAGATGCCACTGGCAGGGGCGGACTGACCATTTGAAAACTCGGTCAATGCCCGAGGGCCCGGGGTCAGTAGGGGGCCCCATGAGATGCCCCTGGTACCTTTTTCATAGGCTTTTTTTAGTTTGGGCAAGGACACAGGGGCCCCATGATCCTCTATTGCCCGGGGGCCCCATGAGTTGTCAGTCCACCCCTGGTACCTTTTTCATAGGCTTTTTTGAGTTTGGGCAAGGACACAGGGGCCCCATGATCCCTTATTGCCCGGGGGCCCCATGAGTTGTCAGTCCGCCCCTGGTACCTTTTTCATAGGCTTTTTTGAGTTTGGGCAAGGACACAGGGGCCCCATGATCCCCTATTGCCCGGGGGCCCCATGAGTTGTCAGTCCACCCCTGATATTGAGTGGATAATCAGTAAAGCTAGGGGTACTAATGAGCGGGGGATATGATGAATGAGAGTAGTAATAAACATGCAAACATTACCATTTTTTTGTACTTTCTCCAAATGATTCAAACAAAAAGAAAATATTCTATGGCAGCATGATATACAAAATATGTGTATGAGCAACTTTCAGTTTCAAAGTCAATTAGATATTCAGTTTCCTATACATGTAGCAGGATAGAAAATATAAAAAAAAATATGCTGCTAATTGCTGTAATTTTTTTTTGTTTGTTTCTGGAGCTGCCAACCATTTAAAATAAATCATTGTCAATCAGACATACGTGTAGTGCCAAAAAAAGCTTTGAGATCTTACATATCCATAGCCAATACATACATATCATGTTGTGTTCTATTTATTCCCACCATTCTAACACGAAACAAACCATTTTATGTCACCATGCAAAAAGAAAAGAGCAGGGCGCCAGGTTAATGTGTGGCAAAAACAGCAATACTTTAAAGTGTTACTAAACCCACAACAGTAAAATCAGTT